CCTGCTGACCATCAGTTCAGGCCCTCTCCCATCTTCTGCCTGTACTCCACCTGTCCCTCCAGGGCAGGTGTGAGTGCCAAGGAGGTACAGCCACATGTGGGCTCTGTCCTCTGGTTCTCTTGGCCATGGACCCTTAAGAAAGGTGGCCAATGGAAAGTGTCTGAATCCCGGGTCTTACATTCCCGGGAGAAGGCCAGGACAGCGATGCCCATTTCCTACCCCTCCCACGCCGTCCTGCCCTGAGACTGATGAGTGTGGTGGAGGCTAGCCTCGAGTCCAGCCCGGGGCGCCCCTCCTGCTCTGGCCCACCAGAGGGCATACTCACAGGGAGCTCCACAGGTGCTCGAACGTGGCTCCCTGGTCTGGAGAGGTGGAGGAGGACTGGGCCATCTTCCCCACGCCAGCTCCCTGAGGGCAGCTCACTCTGGAAGAAGGAAAGAAGGCACGTGAGTGCTTTGGGAAATCTTGTCTTCCATTGTCCTCCACACAGCAGAAGGACAGGCCTGCCAGACTGACAAGGATGGCATCTCCGAATACTGGCCAGGGCACATCCACACCAGCCGTGTGTGCCCTCTCCTCTCTCGTCCACCCGGCCCATGCCCTGAGGTAGGAAGCTGGGACCAAGGTGGTCATCATGCATGCTCAGCCTTGGTGACGGGCAGGCCTGGCCTCAGGTCCTACTGAGAGTGCCCTGGCTAGGAAGAGCTTCTCAGAGTTACCTAGTAAGTGGGGTGGAGACAAGAGCACCCTGCTGTGAGCCTGCTATGGGGCCCTGGGGGAGAATGAAGGTCAAGTCTGAGAGGTTTCTGGGTCCTAACGAACATGTGAAGACGTGTGGCTGTTACTCCTGTCCAATAGCTCTAGTTTTAGGCTAGGGGAGTCAAGCAGTCGAGCTAGGCCTGGTCCTGGAGGTGGCTCAGATCCCAGAACACCCTCTCTTGGGAAGGACATGTAAGGGAGAACCTCGCGGCTGGGCCAAGCCCCAGCTCTGAGCCTTGCTAACCCAGAGTGCTGGGAACAGCAGATGGCCTTTTGCCTGACCCCAGGAAGCTCCAGTGAGGGGACCTGTCAAGGACACGGATGTGAAACTGTAGCCACTGTATGGGTGGTCCCCCTGTGGGAGGAGAAGCCAAGGGACCAGGGTGCCCTGACCACAGTGCCCAGACCTGAGTCTTTGTCCCCACTGCTGCCTCTGCTGAGTGTCTCTGTGCCCAGCTCCCACCCCCAGTGTCCCTGGTGGATGAGGCAGTGACCATGCCTGGCACAGCTGGGGCTCCATGTCCTGTGATGGGGGAGGGGCAGGGAAACTCTAGCCCGCCCTGCCCACCACCCCTCACCCAGGCTGAGGCATCTCCCTGGGCTGGCCTCCAGGCCCTCTGCGAGGGGCCACAGGAAACAACTCGGCCACCGCCCTGCCATGCCTGAGCGGGCAGGTCTGAACCTGCCCATGGCTGGTGGGGCAGGAGGGCACAGCCTGCAATCAGTCGCTCTGCCCCCAGGCAGGCAGGAACTGATGGAGGCCTGTGGCATACTCCTGGGGCTGCCCCATGCGGGGCCGCTGGTCCCCAGAGAAGTGGCATGGGTAAAGGAGGCCTGAAGCACAGCTAGCAGCAATGGCCCGGAAACAAGTGGCTTACAGAGCACTGGCCACAAGCCAGTCTTCCTTCAGACTCACAGCAGCCTGCAGGTGTGACCACTCCACCTGCTTTTCAGGAGGCCGAGGCTCAGAGAGGTTAAGTGACTCGCCTAAGCTCACACGGCTGTAAATGCAGGAATGAATGACTGGCTCCGTCTCAGAGTTGGAAATTAGCCCTGTCTACCCACTCGCCCGTCACCACTCATCCAAGAGCGTTTTAACAACTGGACTCAGACAAGGCCGATCTCAGTTGGAGTCCTGGACCGAGTGGCTTGGAACTCATGCGGGGCACACACTAAGATCCCAGGGGGGAGAGTGGAGGAGAAGGAATTGCGGTGTGGCCATCCCCCACTGGGGGTGATTTCTCACTTTCCCTCTCACTGTCTCTCTGGCAAGCACATGTGCCCTCAGGCAAAAATCTCTAAAAAAAAAAAAAGAAAAAAGCCAAGAGGCTGGCCAGAGCTCACTTGCCCTCCTCCCATCTTGGACTGAGCTGTCCAAAACCCCAGTGGAGTTGAGGGTCTCAGTCATGTAGAAAGGGTCAGAGCAGTGCTGGCCTAGCTGGCTGTGGAGTAGGTGGCTGGCATGGGAACACCAGGAAGGGGAGAAAACCATCCTCACCCATTTCAAATGGCTGGTCCTTTCTGGGTGAGCAGCAGCCAGGCAGGGCAGCCTTAAGGTGCAGGCAGGGTGGGCCAACAGGCCAGGTCAGTGCAGGTGAGGGACTCCCGGGCAGGGTTCATGAAGGGGGACAGGGGATAAAGTGGGGTGGGGGGGAGGGGAGCTGTGCTGAGGCATAATCCCTCCATTGGCAGAGGAAAAGCCTGTGAAGTTGTTGCCACCAAAGGCCATTAGGTCACACCCCTTCATTTTACAGATGGACAGTCCCTATGCCCAGAGATGGAAAATGACAGCTAAAGTCACCCAGCAAGCAGATTAAAACCCTATCTCCCTTCACGTCAGCAGCAGATAGTGCCAGCAACAAGATGTCCATCAGGAGAGACAGGACAAGCACGATGCGGTCCATCCATACAATGGAGCACGGGTGGACCTCGAAGACATCACACTCAGTGAAAGAAGCCAGGCACACTAGGCCACAGAGTGTATGATCCCACCTATCGGAAAAGTCCAGAACATGCCAATCCAGAGAGAGAAAGTTGATGAGAGGTTGCCAGGGGCTGGAGGAACAAGGGAATGCAGAGTGACTGCTAACCAGGAGGAGGCTTTTTCGAGAGACAAGCACATTCTAGAAGTGGGTAGAGATGGGTTGCACAGCACTGTGAATGCACCAGAATGGCACCAAACTGTTCTCTAAAATGTTAAGTGAATTTCACTTCAATGCAAACTTTTTATAATTAATAACGAAAGAAAGAGGGGGACCAGCAGTTGGCGTAATGTCTATGTCACTGGACTCCCATGTAGTTGACTGTGGTTCGAGTCCCAGATCCGGTGGCTTAAACTCACACCAGGTGCGTGTGCGTGCGTGCCCAAGATCCTGAGAGGAAAATGGAGGAGATGGGATTGCGGCGTGGCCATTCCCCCTGGGGGGGTGATTTCTTGCTTTCTGTCTCTCTGTCTCTCTTTTTCTGGCGAGTGCATGCACCCTATAGCAAAAGCCTCTCAAAAAAGGAAAAGAAGAAGGAGGGAGGGAGGAAGCGGCAAGTCTGGGGCAGCCCGTCGGAAGAAGAGCACTGCAAAGCATGCTCTCAATGCACTTTCTCAATCAGCAGTAGAAAAAAGAAAAGAAAAAAATCTGCCTCCCAAAGCCAAGAGTCCTCACTACCTGCTGACCTCCAACATTTGGGGAACAAGGTCCACACCTGGCCCTCCTCCCTCCCATGGAGCAGCCTGGAAGTGAAAGGCCAGAGCCCCTAGTAGGGTCTAGGCACCTGTTCCTTTCACTTCCCTCCCCTGCCCTGTTTCTACCCAAGCTTGCTGACCTCAGGCTCTCATCCACTTGGGGGCAGACTGGCAAGTGTCCTGCTGTGTCAGAACCAAGGAGAGGGCAGGAGGACTTTTCCTAGCCTCTTGACCCTCACTACCTGAACAGGCAGACAGGAATGTCTGAATCAGCCCCGAATGGTGGCAGTGCTCAGCACCTAGAAACTAGGCCATATCCTAGTCCCCTAGGGACATGGTGAGGGGGGGAGAAGAAGGAGTTCTCTGGGGTCGCCACATGCCAGAGGGTCCCGTGCAGTTTCTGCCTTCGAATATGTCCCCCAAACCCAACACTGCCTCCAGGACCTCGTGCCCATTGAACCATGTCCCTTCATCTTACCCTCAGCGGGATGTCCCACACACTTAGGTAAAATGCCCCCACACTTCGTGGCTCCTCACTGTGGCCACAAAGCTCATGGGCTGGACCCGCCAGACCTCCCACCGAAGCCCTAACCCACCTGCCACTTCGTGGGTCTCTGCACTGCCATCCTCTGACCTGGGACATTGCTCTCTAGCCCTGGGTCCTCAAAGGCCTTTCTCAGCACCACTTCTCATCTCAGAGGCCACCACTGCCTCAGAAAGGCTGTCCCTAGCATGCAGCCTCATCCCCTGCCCTATTTTCTCCCTAATGGTTATAGCTATTCAACACTTGCTTCCTCATTGTCTGCCTAGATCTCCACTCAAAGGCTCGGGTGAGAGAAATGCAGAGAGACAGACAGACAGACAGAGAGTGTGAGGGTTCCTGTGCACATGCTGCCCACATCCTGTGCCCCCTGCATGGCCAGGGCTTGAGGATTCAGTGGGTCGATGCAGGCAGGCCTCCTCCCTTGCAGGGCTCACTGGGCATCGTTAGTAAAACCATCTGTACCCCTGTGCCTGGAAACAGATGCTGTATTTTCAAATTGGCATTATTATTTTTTAAATAATTAATTAAATTTATTTATTCAGTTATTCATTCATTTATTTTAATTTAACCAGAGAGGGACAGAGTGAGAGAGATTGAGAAAGAGGGAACGTGAGAAAGCAAGCCTCCAGGTCTGGGACTTAAATCACAGTTGACCTTGTGGGAGTCCAGCACCCTTAACCACCATACCACCTGCTGGCCCCCAAGCTGGCATTATTTAACTCCTGCTGTGTCTATGTCAAGGCACTGTCCTCAAGACGAGTCCCTACTTGTTGGCCCACTCCTGGCACTCTGCTGTAAACTCACACCAGGTGCGTGTGCGTGCGTGCCCAAGATCCTGAGAGGAAAATGGAGGAGATGGGATTGCGGCGTGGCCATTCCCCCTGGGGGGGTGATTTCTTGCTTTCTGTCTCTCTGTCTCTCTTTTTCTGGCGAGTGCATGCACCCTATAGCAAAAGCCTCTCAAAAAAGGAAAAGAAGAAGGAGGGAGGGAGGAAGCGGCAAGTCTGGGGCAGCCCGTCGGAAGAAGAGCACTGCAAAGCATGCTCTCAATGCACTTTCTCAATCAGCAGTAGAAAAAAGAAAAGAAAAAAATCTGCCTCCCAAAGCCAAGAGTCCTCACTACCTGCTGACCTCCAACATTTGGGGAACAAGGTCCACACCTGGCCCTCCTCCCTCCCATGGAGCAGCCTGGAAGTGAAAGGCCAGAGCCCCTAGTAGGGTCTAGGCACCTGTTCCTTTCACTTCCCTCCCCTGCCCTGTTTCTACCCAAGCTTGCTGACCTCAGGCTCTCATCCACTTGGGGGCAGACTGGCAAGTGTCCTGCTGTGTCAGAACCAAGGAGAGGGCAGGAGGACTTTTCCTAGCCTCTTGACCCTCACTACCTGAACAGGCAGACAGGAATGTCTGAATCAGCCCCGAATGGTGGCAGTGCTCAGCACCTAGA